GGGAATGTAAATTGGTGCAGCCACTATGGAAAACAGTTTGGAGCTTCCTCAAAAAAATAAAAATAGAAATACCATATGATCCACCAGTTCCACTTCTGGGAATATATTTAAAGAAAATAAAAACACTATCTCAAAAAGATATCTGCACCCCCATAATCACAGCAGCATTATTTACAATAGCCAAGATATGGAAACAACCTAAGTGTTCACCAGTGGATGAATGGGTAAAGAAATAGAAACTCCAGCCCTGGCTGGTGGTTCAATTAGTTGGAGTGGCATCCATCCTGTACACCAAAAGACTGAGAGTTCGATACCGGGTTGGGGCACATACTAGAGGCAACCGATTGATGTTTCTCTCCTCCCTGCCCCCCACCCCCTGCCTTCCTATCTCCCTAAAATCAATAAAAAACATATCATCAGGTAAGGAATATTTATATTATTCAGCCATAAAAAAGGAGGAGATCTTGCCATTTGTGACTACATATGTCAGTGGTTCTCAACCTTGGCTGCACATTAGAATCACCTGGGAATCTTTTTAAAATCCTGATTTCTGGGCCTCATCCTCTAGAAATTCTGTTTCTTTGTTACTAATGTTGTGGCCCCACCCCATAACAAAGAAACAGACTTTCCGGAGGACGAGGCCCAGAAATCAGGATTTTAAAAAGATTCCCAGGTGACTCTAACGTGCAGCCGAGGTTGAGAACCGCTGACATAGATGGGACTTGAGGGCTTTATGCGAAGTGGTAACACTTGTTCCTTCTTGTCGTTTTGAGGACAGCCGTTCTGACAGGTGCGAGTGGCCAGCTCGGTGTGGTTTTGGTTTGCATGTCCCTGATGATCAGTGATGCTGAGCACCTTTTCACGTGCCTATGGGCCATGTACCTTCTTTGTCTTCTTTGGAGAAATGACTGTTCAGATCTTCTGCCCATTTTTCAATTGGATTGTTTGTACTTTTTAAACATAGATACTAGAATATTGAAAATTATATCTCACGCTATGTTTCTAGTGGATAGAGCTGCTCTAGATTTTTTTATGTGTGGTGAAAATTGTTCATAAAAACAATTTTATATATTGCCCTAACTGGTTTGGCTCAGTGGATAGAGTGTCGGTCTGCGGACTCAGGGGTCCCAGGTTCGATTCCGGTCAAGGGCATGTGCCTTGGTTGCGGGCACATACCCAGTGGGGAATGTGCAGGAGGCAGCTGATCAATGTTTCTCTCTCATCGATGTTTCTAACTCACTATCCCTCTCCCTTCCTCTCTGTAAAAATCAATAAAATATATTAAACAATAATAATAATTTTATATATAATTTTTATTTTATTTTTAAAAATATAATTTTAAATTTAGAACAGATATTTTGTTTTTAGTTAACATATGTCAACCAGACTTATTGTGATGGTCATTTTGCAATATATACAAGTACCGAGTTATTATGTTGTACACATAAAACTAACCTTATATATGAACTAGAGGCCCAGTGCATGAAATTCGTGCACTTGGGGGGTCCCTCAGCCTGGCCTGTGCCCTCTCACAGTCCGGGGGCCCTCGGGATAGGTCCGACTGACGGCATAGGCCCGCTGGCCTAAAGTAAATAAAATGAAGTTTAGTATCATTTGAAAAAGAAAATAATAATTTTATAAATAGATGTGTTCTTCGTGCTGTTGTATGGATTTGAGGGGTCAGAGGTGGCAGCCAGGAGGCCAGGAACCAGGGAACACTGGTGATGGGGGCTTGACCTGGGAGGGCAATGGTGGGAATAAGAATGAAGACAAGAGCAGCCCAGCTGGAGTGGCTCATGGTTGAGTGTCAACCTATGAACCAGGAGGCCAGGGTTCGATTCCCAGTCTACCAGATTGCAGGCTTGATCCCCAGTAGGGTTGTGCAGGAGGCAGCTGATCAATGAGTCTTTCTCATCATTTATGTTTCCATATCTCTCTTCCCCTCTGAAATCCACACACACACACACACACACATATACCATATATACATAAAAGCCTAAGCAACCATTCAATCATTGGACTGTTTGACCGATGGACTGGCAGCTATGACGTGCACTGACCACCAGAGGGCAGCGCTCCCACCAATAGGTTAACTTGCTGCTGGGGTCCAGTCAATTGGGACTGGGCGAGACAGGCCGGACATGCCCTGGAGCCCTCCCACGGCCCCTTCCCGGCCTTGATCATGCACTGGTTGGGTCCCTTGGCCTGGCCTGTGCCCTCTCGATCCAGGACCCCTCAGAGGATGTGGGAGAGCTGGCACTAGGCCTCTAGTGTAATATAAAATTTAAGATTTCTAATAGGATAAATAATTGGTTTATAAATAAATTGTTTTCAAATATAATAATTTTTGAGAGATTAACCGCCTTTTGGGGGAGTTAAGTATTTACTTTGTAATTCTAGAGAGAGGATATTGTAAACAGCTTGACTTTTAGTGATACATTTCAGACTTATTTTCTATATACCAGGTAATGAGTGATACATTTAAGTATCATATAAACCAAATTTACCAAAATTGTCAA